GGATTTTTGCTGATGACTTCACAATGCTCAGCACCACTCATGACTCCTCAGATATGGAAGCAGTTCGTGTCCATATACAGCAAGACCTGCACACAACATTCATGATTGGCCTGAGAAGTGGCACGTAACATCTACACCACACAAGTGCCAGGCAACAACCATGTCCAGCAAGAAAGAAACCAACCATTTTCCTTTGACATCCAAAACATCATTATTGCTGAATGTCCCACTATTAACATCTTGGCAAATACCATTGACCAGAAACTGAACTGGGACCAGTAATGTAAGTATAGAGCAACAAAGAGAAGTCAGAGTCTAGGAATAGTATGACGCGCCAAAACTTGTCCACTATCCACAAGGTACATATCAAGAGTGTGATAGAATACTCCTTATTGCATGGATAACAACTCTCAAGAACTTCAATAACATCTTGGACAAAACAACCTGCTTGTTTCGACACCATCCACCAGCTTAAATGTTCATTCCCTCCATAATCAATTTACAGTGCCTGCAGTACATACTGTTTAAAAGATGCACTGCAAAAACTCCCCAAGGCATCATAGACAGCACATTCCAAACACACAACCTCTCCCACCTAGAAGGACAAAGTAAGTAAATGCAAGGGAACTAGGGCCTGTAAATTCCCATCCAAGCCGCATGCCATTCTGACTTGGTTCTACATCTCCATTCCTTCATTACAAACTCCCTTCCTAAAGTTTGTGAGTGAACGGACACCAGATGGATTCTAGCAAAATAAGAAGTTGGCTCGCCACCATCTTCTCAAGTGTGATCCCAGTGGGTTTGGTTTGCTGTATTGTCATCATCTAACGTAAATTGAAGGATGCTGAATGAACGGAGGGTGCAATTAAGCTCAGTGCTCAATTACAGATGCCAAGCATTTCTAGGAGTTGACCAACAGCATAAACAGGCAGCAGCTATGTTGAGGGCTCACTGTCTTGCTGAGGACAACAAGCAGCTGAAAAGAAACAGAAGTCTCAAGATGGTGCAAAATGGCCATGGGCACTAAGTTAAGGTATAGTACTTGTTCCAGCACTAGCTGACCAATGAAATTTCACCAAAACAATCAGAGATAATAATAAACTTGCTTTTGCCCCACAGAGACTCTAACAACTTTGTATTGACATATATTAGACTGTTCAGCTTCATCCAAAAAAAATTGAAATTTCCATTTTGTCCTGGACTGTGTTCTTAACAAGCAATTTAAGGATCTTTGGTTGGGGTAGGTTTCCCATTTCCTCCTCACTATAGGTTCCTTTGAATGTTGCAAACTGCTCCAGAGGCAGTGGTATCCAGTGATGCCCTCCAGGAATGCAATTTTGAAATTATATCCAAGCCTGAAAGTCCAGATTTCAAATAGTTTCTTGAAGGCTACATTGCCTTTGCTGGTCCTTATGCTATGGACATCAACCTGTTGCTCAAATACCAATGGTTTGCAAAGTTCTTCTTGCTCATTTTGCAAGACACAATACATTACTCAGTTCATTATTTTACAACCTTGAAAGGTCTCATTCAAACTGCAGCCATCATCAAATTATCTCCAATGACCTTGACAGCAACAGGATGTATGCATCCTTTGTTAGTGTTTCATTTTGCAAAATTCATGGATTAACTATTTGTTGCATAAAAGCCTACAGTGTATTTAGAATGTCCAATTTACCACTTTTCTTCTATAAATCTAAGGCATAAAGTTAGATTATGACAACTAAGCAAAATTTTTCCAACTCTTTGCAAATGTATATCCTAATCAGTAGATCCTTAAGGATATAAATTCAGATGAGAATACCTGTTTTCCCCCACTTCCTTGACGAATGTGAGGCTAGTGCTGCTCACAGTATCAACATACATGACAGTAAACAAACCAGACACCAAGCCAAAAATGTTTCTGATTCACACAACTCACAAATACTAAATTGTTCACATGCCCTGAAGATTTACTAAATTAACTATGGAAAGTGGAAAATACATAGGATTCACAAATTGAGACACACATTTCATAGAATCCTTACAATATAAATAGAGGCCCAGGCCCACCCTATTCCTGTAATTTACCATGGCTGATCCACCTAATCTGTGCATCCCTGGATACTATGGGACAATTTAGCCTGACCAATCCACCTAGCCCGCACATCGTTGGACTATGGAAAGAAACCAGAGCACCCAGAGGAAATCCACACAGGCATAGGGAGAATGTGCAAATTTCACACAGTCATCCAAGGCTGGAATTGAAGCTGGGTTCCTGGTGCTGTGAGGCAATAGTGCTAAGCGTTGAGCCACCGCCCACCCTATTTCATAAATATTTAAAATCTATTCAATATTTTATATTACTTCATAAATAAGATTAAAATTAAATGAAAATAAATCATTTGGTAATCCTAATACTCAAAGTAATGAATAAGAAATGGCATGAGATGAAACTTTTTCACCCACCTTAATGGTCTACAAGAATGTGAATGTAACTATAGTGTTCCAATGTTCCACGTATTTGAGAAACAGCACCTCATCTTTTGGTCAGGCACTCAACAGCCTTCCAGACTGAGCAATGAGCTCAATAATTTCCTATCATAGGACCTGTTCCCATTTTTCTTTTCTTTTCTGGCTTTTAGTTTTTCCGTTTTGTTTATCATTTTCAAAATTTGCATAGAAGCACTTCATGATTTGGCCACTGACAACTTCTCTGTCTAGGTAAAAACCAAAAGAACTGCGGATGCTGTAAATCAGGAACAAAAACAAAGTTGCTGGAAAAGC